GGGTTTATGAACGGACAGTTTACTGGGGGCCACTATGTTTTTGATGCTCCGGGCTTTTTTTGAAGATTACGGAGGGTTTAGGTGGTAATAGCGGGCCCAGGCTGGGGTCAGAGTAATGCCAGTTTTTCTTGAGGATGGCTTCAATGGCCTTGTACCTACTGTTGAATGGGGTGATGAATCGTACCGGGTTGGTAGATTGGCGCTTGTTTTTTTGTCTTAGTGTTGGTGTTAGTGATGAAGTGATCACGGGCCTTATTGATGAGTTCCTTGGGGTAACCCTTTTCCACAAACTTGTCTTTCAGTACGTGGCTTTGTAAAATGTAGTTTTTTTTTATTCTTGCAATTTTTGTCAATCCTCCAGAATTGCCTTTTCGGGACATGAAGCTTCCAGAGGGGGTGATGGCAACTTTTGTAGTGGAGATAGGAATTTCCAGCGGTGGGTTTGAAGTGTGTTTTCGTGATTATCTTGGTGTTGGAGTGAGTGAGTTCGAGGTCTAAAAAGACCAATTGAGATTTGTCCGTGACGTGTGTGCAACTGAGTCCTGAGGGGTTGGCGTTGCAGTGCTTAACAAAGTCATTTATGGTATCAGGAGGACAGTCCCAAATGATGATGATGATATCATCAATATAACGTCCATAAAAAAATCAGTTGTCGGGCGAAGGGATTATTGTGCCAGATGTGAAATTCCTCCCAGAAGCCCATGGTTAGGTTGGCATAACTGGGGGCATAATTAGTCCCCATAGCTGTGCCTTGAATTTGGAGGTAAAATTCCTCTAGTAAAGTGAAATAATTTTTCAAGGGTGAAATAATTGTTCAAGGGTGAACTTAGTGGAGTTAAGAATGAATTGGGTTTGCTTGTGATGAAGCTCTGGTTCATGGGACAAGTAATATTGTAAGGCCTGAAGGCCTACTTCGTGGGGAATGGAAGTGTACAGTGTGCAGACGTCAAGAGATACCCAGTGGTATGTGGGCTCCCAAGCGTAGTGGTGTAGTGTTTCGATGAGGTGTCCAGAGTCTCTCAGATAGGAAGGGAGGGTAGTGACAATGGGCTGTAAGAAGTGGTCCACATATCAGGAGAGGCCACTAGTGAGACTCTCAATGCTTGAGATGATGGTGCGCCCGGGGGTGTGGTGCTATTTTTATGAATCTTGGGTAGGTGGTAAGTTTTTTTTTTTTTTTTTTTTTTTTTTTTGGGTTGTGGGGGGCATAGAACTGCTTTCTCTTTTTTGGTGATCTTTTCATCGTACGCTAGTTCAATCAGGTTTTAAGGCGTTCAAAAATTGGGGTAGTGGGTCGGTTTTTAATTTCTGGTAAGTCTATGGGCCTCTTTTGTGTAGTCGTCTTTTGGATAACAATACACCCGCCTTTGTCTGCTTGTCGGATGGAGATGAGTTTGTTATTGGTCAGGTCTTCTTTAAGAGCTTTTCATTCATGATGGGATAGATTGGTTTTGTTACATCGTTTGGTCTGGCTGTTTGCTTTTGAAGTGGTGTTTTTTTGTGGAGGGTCACACAATTTAACGAAGTCTGTGTATGTGACTTGGTAAAACGTTTCAATGGACGCTTTGGATTTCAGTGCATAGAATTTGGAAGCGGGGTGGAGGGAGGTGTGTCTGAATGTTGGGCTGGATAGGTTTTCTCGAAGGAACTCAGCTGGGTATCCAGTATCGGCTAACTCTTCCAAGATCGCCAGGGTATCAGCGTCCAGTGCAGAGTTTCGGGGGGTGCGGGCACTGGGTAATATGGCCTTGTGGCCTCGGGCGTCCTGCTCGCGCCCTCGAGCGCTGGAGCTACACCACTCCCACCGGCCCTCCTGTCTCTCTTGCCCGCAGTGTCCATCTCCTGGCAACTGCCTACAACAATTTTCTCCTCTTTGTGCCCGCCCACCTCCACCCGCTCTCTCCCCCTGACACACCGCTCGTTGTCTCGAGCTTACCACTCGTGCCCTCGAGCGTTGCAGTCAGACCACTCACCTGTGAATCACTGCCGGACACCTCGGGCCTCATCCCAGATTCCCACTCACACCCGATCTATTCGGCGCCTGTGTCCACACTGATCGAACACATCCCCAGCATCCACAAGCAGCCATACACTGCACACCATCCGGATCACACCCCTCTCAGTCCTGACAGCATCCACCAGCCCATTTCCATCCGTGCCTGCGAATATCAGCATTCCCCTCTTATTCAGTACTTGCCATCAAGCCCCCCACAGCCCCACTGCAGTGACAAACCCAAACTTCCCCCACAAAGGTCCACCCACAGAACTAATTGCTCATTATCCCCACCATTAGAGGTTTCCCATCCACCCCTCATCAATGATATCGCATCAGCATTCACTCCTTGGTAAGTTTTCATTGTTGTTATAATTAGCCACCATATGGTAGTAGCGCTTCTGTCCCCATTTTTTGTGCTTTTATCTGTGGTCTGCCCAGCTGTGATGAAGAGAATGAGGAGATGCAAAGAGTGGCAACAATATCTGCAACAGTGTTTATCCCAGGAACCCTGTGGATGAATTTAATTATATTCAATCAGTTATGTTTTGGATTAATTTGTTAAAACGATCACATTTCAGGTCTTGCATTTATCCTCTGATTGTATGAGGAGATTAGATGTATTGCTGAACCCTTCCACACCGGAAAAGCCTTAGATTAAGACCCACCATCTCCTGGAGCTAAGACTCACCCTTGTCATTCAGATGCAAGATCTTTAGTGGGCAGTAGAGACTCTTGCATTTGACAGTTGAAATTTATGAGGCAGGGTGTCATCCCAATGGAGACTAGGCTTACAGTTTGGTTGAAGAGCCCATGTACAGCCTTTTCATCTGAGGAGGTGTTCAGGGATCAATTGGAAGATGAGATATATGCCAAAACAAGCAGTTGTAGTAGTGAATTGTTTTGTTTTTGTACTATTGCATTATGGCCACTAGATGTTGCTGAGGATCATAGAAAATACTTATTTCCTATGGTCCTTTAGCTATATCTAGTGGCCTTAATGTGCCATTCCATGAAGAAAAAAAATATTTGAAAATGTATTCCCTCATAAAGAAAAAAAAAATGGAAAACGTTCACTCTGTTCACAGAGGGCTTGCGTTCAGATATTTCCAGGTTGAACAGCCTGCAACATGTTAGTAAGTGGACCCCCTTTTGAGTTTGCGTTGATTGGCAAGTACAGCCCTTCGGGTGCATTCAGTTTGCATTTGATATTAGTTAAAAATGCCTCTGACTTCATCTATTCGACCTCCTTCTGGCCTGCGAATATCCACCTCCTAAGCTGTATGAAGGAAAGGTTTTACCCAAAGTGAACTTGTACTCTGTTTTAAAAGTATGTCCTGACCATGAGCAGATATGTATATTATGGTTATAAGCCAGAAAAGTATTTTGCCTTTTAGTGTCCCTCTTTAATTTAGCTTCACTTGGTTTCTGGGTCCTGACTTGTCTTTTCCACTGCGTAATGAGTAGGCCCTTCCTGGCCACTAAGTCTCATTGGATAGTGGAATGGCAAATTGGTGGAGGGCAGCCAGGAAGCAGGGCCACAGTAATGAAATGAAGCCAGTTCTGCATGTGCATGCCCATTACCTTAGTTAGCCAGAAAAATACCAGACCAGTGCAGAGGCCGCTGTTAGGCCATTTCCTGCACATTTTAAAATGGTCTATGGGTTTACATTAAAGCAGTGGTTCTCAACCTGTAACCTCAGGACCCACATTTGTCCTTGGTCATTAAAGTGACATTAAAGTAAAAAAAATGTTTCCCTCCCCCACCCATGTTAATGTTATCACTTACCTTAAATGATGTCTCTTAATCCGATCATCTTCTGACTGGCTCTCCGATCCAGCGCTGACTCCTCTCTGCTTGTAGGCACTTTCGATCCAGCGGTGTCTGCATGCGGGTGCACGCGCCCATAGACTTACCTTGCGTCTCGGCTCGTCTCCTGGTCGAGAATCCGAACTGCGCATGCACCCGCCCCAAGATCCTTTGCGGCTGCACGCACAGTTCCTGATTCTCGGCGCAGGAGCGTGCAGCGATAACTAGGTAAGTTTAAACCGCTGTTAAAGCGTTTAAAAAAAACAAAAACAGTTTTGCCTATATCTACTGCTTGCTAACAGTAGATCTAGGCAACAACTGGAGGCTTTAGAACCCCTTTAAGTTGTGACCCCCCCAAGTTGCAATGGAACACATGGCATTGTGGTACTGCATGTTGCGATGCGGGCAATAGAACTGTGGGTGGGAGATGCATTTTGGGGTGCCATACAAATAAATGGCAATGCACCTCAACAGAACGGTAGGTGTGTTTTGTGTGGTACAGTGCGTTAATCGCACGGAACTGTGCAATTAACGCACTGTACTAGTGTGAATGGGCTCTCAAAAACGCAGATGCACACAAAAACGCAGACACAATGTCACGTACTCAGACCTTCTCACACACACATGCACTCCAATTTTTAAATCCACCCAGTCTCCCTATCGAAGAACTGGAGTGGATCCTCAGCCTGGGGTCCAGTGGGGGCTGCTGTGCTGTTATGGAGCTCCATCCATATGTGCATTGCTTGTACAGCTTCCTTGACCACCCTGTAAAGGTGACGGGAACCAGAATGTTACATCACTCGGGTCCAGGCACCTCTACAGGACACCTGAGGGAGCTGTAAGCAATGCACATATGGACCCCCCTCGTATCCCTACCCCTAGCCCACCCCACCTCATGCTTACACTCGGCACCGGGCAGCATATTTTGAATGGCTGCTTGGAGTGAGAACTGACCGTGCTGCACTAGGGGGAGGCTGAGGTGCCTCAACTAGAACAGTGGAAGGCATGTGGGGGACCCACTGAACACAAAGTTGCAACGCACTTTTGGTTCACAACCCACCACTTGAGAACCAAGGCATTTAAGGTTATAATTCTGGACTTGCAGCATGAATACATCTGAAGGTAAATGTAATTCTGTGAAAAGTAAGGAGCTTTGGTTTATGGTTGTAATCATCTTTTTTTTTTCCTTTGTTTCAGGGCAAAATGGTGAAAGGGATGGGTGGTGCCATGGACCTGGTGTCAAGTGCTGGAACAAAAGTAGTTGTCACAATGGAGCACTCAGCCAAAGTAAGTAACACAATGCTCTTTGGTTACACAAATGTTTGTCATTTTAACACTGCTATTGACATCTTGTATTTCAGTATGCAAATATTTTGGCTCACTATACAGGTTCTAATAGCCAATAAGGTTCTCCCTTTCATTCTCTAATACTGCGCTCCAAAAACATAGTTTTTGATATGTGGAGAGAGGGAGATTCAATCGGGAACAGCAAAGCTTGGACTGGGAGAGGAAAAAGCCACACAAGGAGCCAGTTGAGTTTTCTGCAGTTCTCACATGCTAGCAAGGAGTATGCTGAACGTAAGAGAGCAGAGTGACATCCCTTTGCATGTATTTAATCTGTGCGTTAAGCCGTTTGCCTGTAGCTGGGCTTAAAGCAATACAAGACCTACTGAGTTTCAGTAGTTTAAAATCTGTTGGGCCACAATCTTTGGCTGATCATTTCATAAATCATTTCAAAGTGTGTCTGTGTCAAATTTTCACTTTTTTTCCAGAATATATTTTCATCTTTCTCCTTCGCATTTTGGCTTTTCTTCTTCGCATTTTGGCTTCCCATATCTCAGCAATGTCAGACTAACCTTTTTTTTTGTACAGTTCTAGGTCTGTTGGATTCAGGTGCTATTATTCCCATTCCTTTTGGCAAAACATTTTCAATGTTTTTACTCAAACCTGTTTACAGTTCCCAAACCCAATGGAAGACCCTGTCTGATTCAGGATTTGAAAGCACTCAATGCGTTTTAATGGATTCCATCCGGAATTTGTGAATATGTACAGTCGGTTGTCAATTTTTCTCTTAGACCTAAAGGATTTGTATCTGCATTTCCTGTATTTTCAGCTCCTCTGTATTTCCTTAGTTTTGCAGTAGGTGATCTTTTAGTATCAATTTGTGACACTTCCCTTCTGGTTGGCTTGGGCTCCAAGGTTTTTTTAAAAAGTTCTTGCATCGGTTCTGGGTTTTTATTTTTGTCATCTTAATTTGGAGCTCATTGTTGGTAGATGGTGCTGCAGACATTAGAGGACTTTGGGTGGGTTTTGAATATCGAGAAGTTGTCCCCAATTCCATTGCATCGCTTGGGTATTTGGGTCTTCTTTTGGATACCCTTCAAGTAAAGGTGTTCCTTCCTCGGAACAAAATATTAAAGTTGCTGGATCAAGTTTAGTTGCTTCGATCTCTTTGATGTTCCTCTGTGAGAACCTGCATGAGAATACTGGGATTTATGTCAATCTACGAAGCTATACCTTTTGTACTCGGTTCCATTCCAGGATTTTACAGAGGAACATTCTTGCAGTATGGAACAAGTCTCCTCTATCGCTGAACAAGATGTTCAGATTGAGTGCCCCAGCCAGGATGTTTTTCTGTCATGGTGGTTGACATTACCTGCAGTGACCATGGCCATTCAAATAACTGGCAATGCAACAAACCTCCCGCACCAGAACGTGCGGTAGGTGTAATTGCGTGGTACAGCGAAATTAACGCACTGTATTAGTGTGAACGGGCCTTAATAAATACCGACGGGCGCACACACAACCACACACAACCACACACAATCTCACACACAGGCATTCTCACACACGCATACACAAAATATATATTTCTTTTTTTAAGATCAACCAAGTCTCCCTACCTGAGAATTGGAGTGGATCCTCAGTATGGGGTCCAGTGTGGGCTGCTGTGCTGTAACAGAGCTCCCTACATATACAGCTCCCTTGCATGCCCTGTAGAGGTGCTGGGAGCCAGAATGTGACAACACCAGTCCAGACACCTCTACAGGGTATGCGTGGTAACTGTAAGCAAACAAAACAATCCTTGCTGCACACCTTACCGGGGTGCCCATGTAGCTATACGAGTGGGTGCTCAAAATGACTGCTGAGGGCGCTGCCACATGCAGATAGTTGACCGTCACCAGCACACAAGCGATAGTTACAGCAGTTTAAGTGATATTTTATTGAAGAATGCTGTCAATCCTATGCGAAGTGCTTTCGGGGCCACACAGGGTCCCCTTCATCAGGCTCAGATGAGTGGGAGAATTAAAAACCTCTTTATAGACATAGCAATGGTGAAGTGTATTGCAAACCACACCCACACTCCCTGGCGTCAATATTGACGTCACAATCCCGCCACTATGTTCAAATATGATATAATAAATTGGCACGTAAACATACCTGAGAACAAGCAGTAAAAAATGACCTCTCGTATAGCATTATAGCTAATATTTGCATGACACTTACACTTTTACGCACTTTCAGGGCCACGCATATGAAGGACAGCATTCTTCAATAAATGAACACGAACTGCTGTAACTCGCTTTGTTGTGCTGGTGACATTCTTCAACTAAGTAAATGTAAGCAATGCGCATATGGATGGAGCTCCCTCTTGGCCATACCCGCAGCCCACCCTGCCTTAGGCCTCATTCACTCCGCTTAGAGTCGGCTCATACAGATCCGTGCGGTGTGCAGGGCCGCATCAAGCCATTCCCGGGAAGGACAGGTGCTGCGAGTGCTTGTACGCAGCAGCCTGCTCTTTTATGGGAGGATGCGGCCGTGCGCAGCAGCCTGCTCTTCTCTATGGGAGGATGTGGCCGTACGCATCCGAGCTACACATTCATGCAGGTGTCGGGTAAGCGTATGGACACCCACAAGGGATGTGCAGCTCTGGTGAGCATATTGCCGCGTCCTTCTATAGAGAACAGGCTGCTGCATACAATCTCACGCAGCACCTGTCCCTCCCAGGAACAGCCCGATACGACCACGCCCACCGCATGGATCTGTACGGGCCTCCTTCACACGACTCTTAAGCTGTGTGAATGAAGCATTAAGCTGACAGTCGACATCGGGCATCATATTTTGAATGGCTGCTTGGTGCAAGAACTGACAGTGCTGTTCTACGGGGAGCATTAAGAGCCTCTCGCCTTTTCACGTGCAGTTCAGTGCGTTTTTTTGGTGCGTCCCAGACCAGAAAAAAATGGTGCTTGCAGCATTTTTTTCCCCCAGCACTGGTGTGAACAAAGCCCAGACCAGAAGTACCATAGGAATAAATTGGGATGCATTTCAGGTGCGAACAAAAGCTGTTCTGGTCCAGATCTTGTCTGTACATGGTGTGAACAAGCCCTAGGCTTACAAGTAGACAACGGTTGCATTGTGCCCTGAGAAGAACCCAATTCCCCTGGCACACTTCACCCTGACATATTTCCCTGTCATTCAGCACCCTATCACTGCACCCTGAACTCTCCATTCCTCACAGCCAGCACCACCTGCCCCCCCCTCCCAACAACCAAGTAAGCAAGTCTGCCACTACATACCCCAACACTGCTCCTTCTGTCCCGGTCACTTTCTCACTACATGGAGATGCAGAGTGGAGGATAGACTGAGCCTGGAGGTTCTGGACTCTGCCCACTCAGCATTTGGCTCCGCCAACTTCCTCCTGGCTCAGATGACATCACCTCCTCCCCAGAGCATCTAGTAGCTGCAGATCATCTCCCAGAGAAATGAGATATGCTTCAACCACTGGGAGACCTGTGTGAGGATTGTCTGTTTCCTGGGTAAATTGAGAGCTGTGCATTTATTCCGTTTATGGTCAGGCAGTTAACCCTCTGGGGGCGCTGTACACTGAGTGTTTCTGGGGGAAGCAGGAGGAGGAGCCTGCTTCTGGGTTAAGAGGAAGTCTAACACTGAGGTTTTAACCCTTTTGCTGCTGCCGAGATAGGTCATGTCAACAACAATGGGCCCCTGTAAGCAGACTCCCGGCAGGTATAACAGCCAGGAGTCTGTTTACATGTGTACAGTGGCCCACTCTCCTACGGGATGGCTGCACCCCTCAGCCCTTCCCTCAGGTATCTATTTACTCGGCACAATCTCCTCCTTTTTTGTGTTTTTTTTATTTAAAAGGTTAATCTATTGTGTTTATGTGCACTAAAATTAGTGTAAGTGAATTTTTAAATGAAAATTTCGGTTTGTGCTGATGTCATGCGGCATAAACATTGCATCTGCCACCATTTTATTCTACAGGCTCTCTGCTTTCAGGAAATTGATCATTCTAAGGGTTGGGGGGTGTAGTTATCTTAAGGCCTAAAATTTGTTTTTTAACGTGTGCCAAAAAAAAAATTAATTGCAAAAACAGCTCTGGCAGTGAAATGGTTAAAACCATCCACCCCCCTCCATTACTGCAGAAGCCTTCCAATGTGGCGGCCATTATGTAGAAGCTCAGCATCCAAGTTTTTTCTTTTTACTTTCGAGATACATGTTTTATTCGAAATAGAATTTAAAAAATAGAAACTTTTGAGCCCCCTTTTTATTATAAACTTCATTCTTTTTATAACCGGCTGACACTAAGGGGAAAAGTAAAAAATCCATGTTTAGTTGCTGTATTCCTCTTTTGCAGGAAGTCTAGAATAGAATGTGCAAATTCAAAATTAACATAAAATCGAAATTGCTGCATTATTCAGAATTGTCTACATTAATGTTTTCCTAGCTACAACATTTGCATTCAAACATGACCTTTTAATAAAAAATCTGTGTGACAGACCTGTTACAAGAAGGAAAAAAATCTGCACTTCTTAAGAATCCACTATAAAATAACAACTTCCCAACTGCAAATTTTGCAAATATTTGAGCATATGTTGATCAATTTGCTTCCAGCCAGCTAACAATCTCAAAGTGCCAAATGGTAAATAACCACAAAAGGATATGAACCCAGATCCAAACACAAATAGGGAGGCTCCAGCATTTAATGATCGGTGCCTGAATAGCTAAATGGAGATGGATGTGTTATTTAGGTGCAGCCTCTCCTGTTGCCACGGAAACGCTTCATTTCAGAATGCCTGTCTTGTTTCCCGGCTTCTCCATAATCTAGTTTAAGGCAATATGTGACAAAAGAACATAGTAGAATTGAATAATTGTATGCCTTTTTTGCTTTATTTTAGTGTGTTCCATATTTAACATTGCATACTTAAGTGCTGGAGGGCTTTTTTTTTTTCTCCTCTCCAGACTGTTCATATTTTGCTTGCTAAGCA